AAAAAAAAAAAAAAAAAAAAAGGAAAGAAAAAAATAAAACACTTTCCTTGTTTTAAAAGATTCCATCCTGAGAAATAAAGCATTAAAAACTTTAAGTTGTTCTTATCAATTGACTAAAAAAATTACACTAGAATGTCAAAGTGTGATTGAAGAAAAGCTTTAAAAAATAGGGAATTATCACATTCACTTCTCCATAAGGAAGTATCCACAGGGTAACTGTCAATCAGGAGCTCAGTGGGATACAGATAACTACCCCAACTATTTCAGGTAAACAAGTGATCATTATCCTCTCTGCCAAAAACACTTCAAAGGATTTAATTTTTTAATTTCAAGGAAGAAATTTTTTAAAAGCGGGGAAGGTAAAAGAAAATATTTCAAACAAGAAATAAATCTTAACCCTATGACCCCATTATCAGGTCACATACTCTCTGGGCTCACTATTAATTTCTGTCAAAGTTCCTAAAGTTGCCTGATTCTTCAATTGGGCGACTACATCATCTATTCTAAAGCTGCCTCTTTCTTGGATAATCTGTATTTTTCTAACATTTTATGCATAAATGAAATATTTCCAGATTTTACTATTTACCTAAGATTGATAACTTTGTAATATTTTAATTAATTATTTATGTTTGCTTGTTTTAACAAAAATAGTTTGTTTTTTAGCTACTTTGACTTTCGCATTGAAGCACATTCCCTGGACATTCTTAATTATAATCTTCGCTCAATGTATTCTTAAACCAGCACTTAGTAGTAGTGACGTTCTTGCAAACTTGGGACATTTTTTTATTATTCTTTCAACAAATTCAGCAAGACTTTAACATTAAATGAATAAAAATTCTCATTTATCTTATTAAGTATATATAATGATAAAATAAGATTTGTTAAATAAGCATTAACTGGTGGGAAAAGTCTAGCAAATTGGATCTAAGACTCAGTGAAAGTGAAAAGCATAAAAGCCATAGAGTTCAAGAGTGTGGCTTCAGGTAACCCATGTAACTGAATGTCAGAAAATAACATTTATCACACATGCATTTAGAAGCACATGACTTCGAGAAACTTACCACATTCATGTTTGCTTCAGGATCCACAGCTGCCCGTTTTCCTCTGGACCCCTCAAAATGCAGTGTCCCAAGGACCAAATAGACCATCAACCCCCAGAGCTGCATTTTCATTCTGTATAAAACAGTTTATTGTTATGTACTCAAATGTTACTACACAGAACTATGTAGGCAGATTAATGCTCCTATACAACATCGAAATCAGGTCTGGGGCAAGTAAAGAGTAGGTGAAGAGGAAAAATGAAACAAATGACTCTAGCCATGTCTGGAAGAAAAAAGTGAGGAATTCCTTTTTACTAAGAAACCTCTCCACCGTCAGTTAATACGGGACCTTATGGGGCCCAGCACACCCACTCATCTACTTACCACGAGACTAAGAAGTTTTTCTGGAGAAATAACAGAAACACAACACTTAAAAGAGGATAAGCTGAAAAAAAGGAAGAGCCACAAAATTCCAGGGTTTATTTCCTACCTCATCCCCTCACTGTGATTTCGACATTTTTAACTTTGGCCAATATTAGCTCTTCCTCCCACTTATCTACCCACTTCTACTCTTGCCCAAAGTCATATGTCAGCATTCAAATGTCACTCCAGGAAAAAAAATGAAATGAAAGAATAGAGAGCCTGCAAGATGAGGAATTCAACTCCTCTCTCCTTCAAAACATTCCAGCCATCAACAAAGACCACCCTAGTTTCTGGCAGTGATAGCTCAAAATCACAGCAATGATTTTGAAGATATGAAAGGAAAAGGAAGTGACTCTCTGAAGCAGATGGTTAGAAAAAAAAGCTGAAACTATGGCCCAGGTCTCTCTCTTTTTTTTTTTTAAACAAATATAATCACTTTAAAAAAACATGCACGTATGCCCATACAAACACTGGTACATAAATGTTTATAACAGCTCTGCTTGTAAAGGCCAAAACCTGGAAAAACCCAAATGCTCCAAAAGGGATAAACAAATTATACATACTACTTACAAATATAGATATATAAACAAATTACATACTACTTACTCGGCAGTAAAAAGAATGAATACAACAACATAGATGAATCTCAATTATGCTAAGAAGTCCGACCAAAATAAATAAATACATGCTATCTGATCCCATTTATATAAAACTCTAGAAAAATCCAACCTAATCTATATTGATAGAAAACAGATACACGGTTGCTGGGGAAGAATGAGCAAGAAAAAAGGGATTATAAAGAGGTATATACAGTATTTGGGGGGTATGTACAGGTTCATAATACTGAACATACTAATGGTTTCAGAGGTGTATACATATTGTACAACTGATATATGTCCTGCTATTGTATGACAATAATACCTGGAAGTTGCTGGCTTTGGTTTTTTTCCTAATAGTATTGTGCTTACTCCATGAATCCCACAAGTATTAAAAAAAATTGGTTCTCAGGAGATTGCAAAAGTGAACTGTCTCTTTTATGTTGATGCAGTTCCTCCTAGAATTATTTCCTCGAGCAGTAGTGAACGCTGAAATTCTAGATGGGAGTAAATTTTCTCCTGAGTGTGCACTGGCAAAGCAAGGCTGCTGCTTTTACTTAAGGTTTGTATTTCTTTACGATGGCTGGAAAGAACGGTACAGACCCCGGCTATTTGTTGTCACAAATGTGACCTCCCAAAAGTCCGTTATTACTAGAGAATAAGAAGTAAACTGAAAAGGGAAAAAGTAAAGGTACAGCCACAATCAAAAATAACTAAGCATCTGGTGGGAGCTGCTTTCCCATCAGAGCTTTTCCTACAGACCTTGGATCAGTTGTTCAGAGGATGCTATTCAACTGGCAACGTGACCTGGGTAAGCGTTCCTTCCAACACAGCACTAAGTTCGTTTCTCAACAGAGAAGTCAAGATTCTCTCAGGTCTTAAAGGAGAGATCATATGAGAAGTTCAAAGGAGGGGGGAAAAACACTTCAGGCCGGATTCACCGCGCTGTGCTGAGCTCTCTCAGCACCTTTATCTCAGCAATTTAGACTTTGTAACATTCCAATTAAGTGTTTGCCCGCCCTCCTGTCATGCCAGCCCACAGGGCAGAGCCTGAGTCTGATTCAACTCTGTACCCCCAGGACACAGCGAAGTGGCACACAGGGCACACACAATACAGACTTTGAAAAATGGGACAGGGATGGTCCAACAGTTGAGTAACAAAAGAAAAGAAGACCCAATGTCGCTTGTCGTTTGGCTTTCTAGTAACGACTGAGCTCTTGCCCTACGCCAGACACCGCAGGCAGCGCTTCCACCTTCTATAGTATGTCAGGTACTCCACCCATCCCAGGGCAGTACCACAAAATTCACTTTTCAGGAAACTGAGGTTCATCTAGGTTAAGCACTGGAAGCAAAAATTGGTTCTCAGGAGATTGCAAAAGTGAACTGTCTCTTTTATGTTGATGCAGTTCCTTCTGCAAGTATTTCCCTGAAACAGCGGTATCGCTGGGATTTTAACCAGAACCAATCCCCAGATCTGCTCTCGATCACGCCGTCAGATAACACTGGAGTAGAGAATGAGAAAGAAGAGCTAGGACTTAGGCACTCTGCTGTTCCACACGAGAGCTCCGGGGAGCTTCGCAGACCAGGACGGCACCTGTCCAGGACAGCGGAGAGCGCCCAGGGCAAGGTGGGCAGCTTGAGAGAGCCCCCGCCTCCTGAGTGCGTGGGAGATGCCTCGGGCCGCTGCCCACCAAACAGGCATCTACAGGTACCCCAGGCAAGATCCCCGGCCCCCAAAGCGGAGGTCCCACCCGCCTGCAGACACGCGGGGCGCGGTGACCGAGCACCTGGAGCCGTGCGCGGCCCTCTCCTTGGCACCCGAGGGAGGAGGCACCCGCTCCCGCGCCGCACCCGCACCTGGAGGCGCAGCAGGGGCCGGCACTCACCTGCAAAGCCGTCCTCCCCGGCCGCTGTCCGGAGTAGCAGTGCTACTTCCCAAGAGATTGAGGGGCCGGCCCCTGACGGGACCGGGAGGCCTCATCGGGAAGGCGGGTGCCCACCACTCAGCTCAGGCTATTCTCGCAGCCAACCAGCGCGGCGGGCCACCGGGAAGTGTCGTGGAGGCCCCGCCCCCGCCCGGCGCTGGTTCCGCCCCTGCCAGGCTCTCCGGCTTCCGAGCGGGCCAGGGGCCCCGAGGAGCATGCGCCGTGGGCGGACCTAAGAGCAGCGGGGCCATGCCTCCTTCTCCAGTGGCAGGCAGGTCCCCAGCTGTGCCCGCTAGCAACCGCGCCTGGTCTCTTAGCAGCCGCCTCGGGCTCCGCCCCCGGAGCGCCTGCAGGGCTGGCACCTTCTGAGCCTGGCACAGAGCCATATGGGCTCTATAAATAAATGAAAATAAAATCACATGCTCCGTATAAAACGCTTAGCATTGTGCCTGACGCGAAACAACCTTTTGTGCAATGCATTTTTATTATTAAATATTTATGGGAAAGAAACGTAACAGTATTCAGTATGCACATATTATTTATTAATCATTTCATTCAACAAAAATATTATGGAGCACCTATTAAATCCCAGGTATTAGTAAGACAGTGGGGATGTAGAAACCAACCAAGCAAGGTCCTCGTGCTCTTGCTTACATTCTAATGGGAAATACATCATGAAACACATGAGGTGGTGTTAAGTGCTATGCAGGACACAGCAGCAGCAACACAATTAAAGGACAATGAAGGAGGATGCTATGTCACATACATGGTAGTCAGGAAAGGACTCTCTGAGCAGTAACATCTGGTCATCTGAGCACAAACAGGAAAGAGGTGATTGAGAGCTCCGTGGATACTGAGGACAGAGCACTCGGAGGTTAAAAGGTGCAAGGGCCCTGTGGCAGTAATATGGCTAGTGGGTCAGGCCAGAACAGTGACACCTTTGTTGCTGAAACAGAATATACGTGGTGGACACTAGAAGGGCATGAAGTCCTGGGAGGAGTTAAGTGCCTTGGGGATCACTTGTCATGGCTTGGACCAGGATGGTGATAGCAGTGAGGGTAGAGAAAAATAGTCAACTCTAGACATGTTCACATCTGTATCCAATCCAGATACGTGGATTTGCTGGGGTTGAGGGGGTGGATATGGTTGTGACAGGGAAAGCAGTGTCAAGGGTGGCACTAATGAGTTCAGCACAATGGAATTGTCATGAACCGAAATGGAGAAGGTACCTGGAAAATCAGCTTGAGAGGGAAGTCAAGATTCTGTTCTGGAGTAGTTTGTAAACACCACTGTGCTTGGGGCTCCCGAGCAGCCAGAAGGATCTTGAACTAATGACCTGGAAAGAGATACTAGACGGAAACTTGAGAAGCACTGCTTACTAGATAAGAGCTAAGGCATTCCCGGCAGCAGAGTGATTAATGCTCATGGCCCACCAGTTAGAAAGTATTCTTGCCATGAGGAAGAGGGCGTGATAAGTGGTTCAGCTTATGAAATCCAAGTTGCATGTGAATTCTGCCAGACAATACAAGGACCTGTGGAATATGAGTGATGACAAACCCTTTCTATGTACTGCGCCTGGATGTGGCCAGTGTTTTACCAATGAGGATCATTTGGCTGTCCATAAACATAAACCTGAGATGACACTGAAATTTGATCCAGCACGTCATGACAGTGTCATCGTGGCTGATCAGACCCAACACCAACAAGATTCTTGAAAAACTATGAAGAAGTGGGTTTGTTTAATAGTTGGCAAGTCCATTTGAGAATGAACTCAAGAAAGCTTCAGATGACATTAAAAAAATGCCTCTAGATTTATCCCCTCTTGCAACACCCATCATAGGAAGCAAAATTGAGGAGCCATCTGTTGCAGAAACAACTCACCAGGATAGTCCTTTACCTCACCCAGAGTCCACTACCAGTGATGAAAAGGAAGTACCATTGGCACAGACCGCACAGCCCACATCAGCTATCGTCTGTCCAGCATCATTACAGGATCCTAAGGTGCTCCTTACAAGTTCTGATTCAAGTGTAATTATTCAACAAGCGGTACCTTCACCAACTTCAAGTACTGTAATCACCCAAGCACCGTCCTCTAACAGGCCAACTGCCCCTGTACCAGGCCCATTTTCTCTTCTGTTACATCTCCCTAATGGACAAACCATGCCTGTTGCTATTCCTGCATCAATTAC